ATCAGCCCAGTCCATGGCTTTCACATCGAGAGGTTTGGCGAGGGCTTTTGCCATTTTAAACACTGCGGGCCCGCAGTGCGTGAGGAAGACGGCTCGTTTTCTCTGCCCGTTCGCGTCCTTGAGGTTGCTACTCTCCAAGAACATGAGGAATCTGTCTATGTACGATTCCCAGTCCTCCGTAGCTTGGTTGAAGGGAGCGGGTGGCACGTTGCCGCTGGCCATGTTGCCGATTGCGGTTCCGTGAGCCACGTGCGGTGTGGGACTTGTTTTAAAATCCCATCCTCGTCGCCAGTGTCGTATCTCTCATACGAACAAAGGACGCGAGGCAGTGACTTGGTTCAGCTCTTTATTCGGGGTAAAACACAAGTGGGGTGAGTGGGGGAGAAGCGCGGCTTAAAAGCATTTTCTGCCGAGTGCGGCGGCCAATCGGGTCGTTTTGAATCGCCCGCGATCGGCTCAGCCAATCGCGGCCGATTCCGAACGACCAATCAGTGCCGCGCACTCAGCCAATCCGGTGGCCGTGCGCTTTAGCCAATCCGGGCTGCCGGATTTCGAGTATGCAAATGTCTGTACAGAACAATATCAATGCTGTAATTGTAACAAAGGCTTAGAACAGATGAACATTCTACTTCAGGCAAGCAGATGGGATAATGCACTTCATGTCATTTCAAAAGCAAAGTCATGTAGATGGTGTGGTGGCAGTTTGAGAGCTGACAAGGGCATGAGTCACTGAACTCAGAGCATGCCTTTCTAAGTAGGTCTGCAACTTGTACATCAGTTAGAGATAGGCAAAGCCTCAGCCACAGCTTTTCTTTGCTGTTTCAGAAGGAAGAGTAGGTCCAGGGAAATTCTAAAATTGCACCAATGCTGCTGCTGCTTATAGGGGAGATGATTCCATCAAGACTTAAAACTGGAACCAGGACAGAGCCACATCTATTCCCAACAAAGAGCAATGCTCTCAAATTGCAGGGATTTAATCTGAAGTTGTTTTGCCCATCTAGTAATCCAGACACCAAATCGGGATTACCACAGAATATTTGGGTGGTGATATTAATGGCATCTCACCCAAAACTGATAGATGGCTTCTCCCAGAAGTTTTAGGAAGACATTGAATGGCATGTGGGAGGAAATTGAACCCCATAGTACCCCACATTGTAGCAACCACTGTCTCAAGTTTTCCCCCCACACAACAGCTGAAATTGCTCAGTAAGCAAGGGGTGAAATAACTACAAAGTCCCTCCAGTCCTCAACAAGAGGAATTTGAACTCAGCAGGAGACTTTCTTAAAGCATATATTTTTTCTTATGACCTTAACATACACAGAAATATATGAAGATAGAAAAACCACACATTTATAAATAAATCTTGAAAAGAGGGATGCAGGAGTAAAAAAGAGGGAGAAATTGTTCCTTGTTATTTCTTAAACAAAGAATCACTTAATAACAGTAACCTGATGCCAGATGACCAAGGACAACATGTCAAGACCTTGTCTTTATCACGATTTGTTCTAATGATCAAAATAACTCATAGAAAAGAGATGATACAATTTCCAACACCTACCCTTCCATATGTCCAGAAGAATAACAAGGGTATTGGATGCTGCTGAAAGATCTAAGATGACCATGAATGGTGCACTCCATCCTGATTCCCAAAATAAGTCATCTACCAGGATGATCAGTTCTGTCTCATTCCCAGCCTGAGCCCTGGTTGAAGATTCCAGAAAAGATGTTTCTTCTAGAATCCTCTACAAATGAAGTTCCATGGCCTCCTCCAGAATTTCTTGTAAAATGGGAAGATTGGAAACTTATAACTGTTCTTTATAAGTTTTGCTATAATTGGCTAGATCAAGAGTTGTCTTTTCAGAGGTGGGAATAAGATTAATTTCTGAATAAAGCTGCATAAAATCAAATAATTGTAATAGAATGTTTTGTCTCTCAACAATAACAAAAATGATTGTTTTGTTCCAGTGAGTGTACATAAGGGATGGGGCCACATGAAATATAATTGTTCAATTATAAAAAGTAAGGAAAGTTGCTTCATACTCAGGGAAAGGATCAGAATGTGGCCCCCATCCCGAACATGAGACATGTCATCCATCGAAGTATTTTAACTTTTTAAGTGGACAGTTTGCTTTGGACTTAACAGTTTTGTATTTTCCTTTACAGAAAGTCCCTTTGACTCCCAAGTACAAAAAGTGCAAAAAAATCTCAATTCAAATAAGTGCTTAGATAAACAAGAAAACGTAAGTATAATACATTATATGTTAAATTTGTATCATTTTTTAAAAAATCAGCCTGTTTATACTACCAATGCTGCACAGTTATATACTTGGAGTAGTTGATGTGAAATGTGATTTGAATAATGACAAGCCATTAACCACAAGAAACGTTTGTGGCAGTTCACAATCAATTCTGCACCTGCTTGAGCTCATTTCAGCTGGGAGGGGGAGGGGAGTCAATTTATTGTTGGGAGAGAAATTGGGTTATGTGAAGATGGTAATGCTGGGGGTTTCTTTTCTTGCTGTAGCTCTGCAATGGTTTGGGGACACCAGTAATGGAATTGCTGGTCTTGTAGTCTTGTTATGAAGTCTTGTCTAACTCTACCTCCTGAATCCTCCCTCCCTCCCATTTCTATTATTACCCACTAAGCAGGCCATCCTGCTTAGTTGTCTAGCTGTGCCTCTATTCCCACTTATTTATGTTCACAGAAATCAAAGAATGAGCACCCTTTAGCATATATGTGCCCCCAATACTCCTCATATGTGGCTTTGAAGCTCTGAAGATCACAATGGCCAGTTATGGATAAGCTTATCATATATTTTTTTAAAAGTCAAATATTGCTGGTTAATTAATTTAAACAGAAGCTCTGTTGTCTTTTTTTTTTTTTGTTTAATTATTTTAAAACAGAGTTTAAGAGAGGCATTGAAAGCACTGTCACAAATTTCTATAATTTCTATTTTATCTCTGATTGCTGAACAAAGCGTTCCAAAGAAATGTATGGCAACCTACAACCCCACTGAAGGTTTGCTAGTCCCTAAAAGATGTGTTTAGATTAGAACATTGTTTCTGAAGAGAAGAAAAGAGCCCTGGATCAGGAAAGAAATTTCAATTGATGTGGCTTTCAGGGTTTGGTGAGCTGATCTGGCATCTGTGGTAGAGAAATCCTGCCCTAACCGGGAGCCTCCAATCTTGGCAATGTTACCAGTTTTTCGACTTCAATTCCCAGAATGGAGTCGTGAAGTTGCCAAGGTTAGAGACCCCAGCTGATATAGCTTCTTTCTTCACTTGCCAACTCTGAGATCACATGCTTCCTTTCTCCTTTTCTTTTAGGAAAAGAATTTATACTGCTCAGTGTTGGGTTCTGCCTTGAATTTTTGGAAACCTCCTGGTGCTAATGACAAGCATACTGAAACCACCCTGAAAGTGAGATTTATTGACAACTGCAGAGACAACATTTCACCACAGCTTCTCTTTCCTGAGAAGCAAGGCTGTATAGTTTCCTGTTGTGTACCTTGATGATGAGTGGATAGAGGAAAAGTTGGGTCATTATTCTAGGAACTAAATCAGTTTTTCAAATAAAAATTCAAATTCAGTTCATATCTGTGTTTCAATATGGGATTGGCTTAGAGAAGGGAAGGGACTTTTTCAGTGTTGAGTGGAAATGAGATGGGAAAATTAAATTCTAGAAAATAAGGTAGAAATAAATAAATTGGCTCCATATTTCATAAGATTCCATTGTTAGACATTTAAATTTTGTAAATATATTTTATTTAATTTTGGTATGCAAAATCAAGTTTTATATATGCTTTAGTTAATTAAAAGTAACAAATAATCAAGAATCCAAGATCCATGATTGTATGGATTCCATTGGGGAACCATGTTAGCATTCTTTTTTTTTTGATCCCACACAAGAGATTTCATCTCTTGTATTGTAGCATAAACCTTTTTGAGTCATGAGAAATAAATCCATTTATGGTGAAGCGCATAATTAATCTGTAAACGTTAAGATGCCACAAAACCTACTGTAGTTAGGGTTAGGGTTAGGATTAATTTATAAGGGTTAATTAATAAGAAATATTTAGGAAAATTAGAAATAGGTAAGGTCTATACTGAGAACTCCAGAAAAGCTAAATTGTGAAAGGTTTTTAAAATGCAGCATAAAAGTAAAAGACCATTCAAATTTATTTTGTAATGTCAGTCATGGAATTGATGTCACAACTTTGGGTTTTGTTTTGAATTTGAAAAAATGAGCAGGTGAGGTTTTTATATCTACAGACTGGGTTCCAAGTTTTGTTTTGGCATTGATTTTTAAAATGATCACAATGGCTATGCTGATAAAACCATCTTTTGGCTATGCATGGAATCTGAATCCAGCCATATGGCCATATAACAGTGTAAAATTCAAGTTGAAATATATTGAGTGTCTTTTACAATATCCTGACAAGAACATTCTTAATGAAATGCTGGAGAAAAACTAAATGAGATTTGAAAAGTTTGCTTCTTGTAATTTGATTTATTTATTTATTTATTTGTTATTTGGTTTGTCAATTGCTCACAAGATACTAGGTATAAGAAAAAACATAGTTATGAATACATGGATACATATAAGAAAAATAAAAGAAAAAATGGGACAGGGACGATAGGCACGTTGCTGCACTTATGCACACCCGCTACAGACTTAGGAAGGGGATGAGGTCAATAGTAGACAGTCTAAGGTTAAAGTTTTGGGGGTTTGGGGAAGAAACCACAGAGTCAGGCAGAGTATTCCAGACTTTAACCACTCTGTTGCTGAAGTCGTATTCTCTGCAATCAAGTTTGATGCGATTAACCTTGAGTTTGTATCTATTTTTTGCTCTTGTATTGTTATGGCTGAAGAATTCATTGACAGGTAGGACATTGCAATGTATGATTTTATATACTATACTTATAATGCTGCAGGACTCGGTGAATTTCTTCGAAAATCTTTTTGATAATCGCTCTCATTGGGATAATAACTTAAAGAAGGATTTTGTCACAATTTTGCCCATGATTATGGAGGAAATCAGCTTAGGTGCACTATTAACAGCTCTTGAAAATCCAGGAAGCATCTCTCAAACAGTGGTTCAAAACTTCACAGGTAAGGAAAAAGAAAGATGAAGTTTGTCTTTGAAGAAAAAAAAGAAAGGCATTTGCCTGTATGTTGCACAAATCAAATTCTCTGTACTGAGTCTTTTTTCATTCATCGGGCAATTCACAATTTTGACTTCTTTAATGAAGACAGCCTGTATATGAGAGTTCAGACATGTTTTCAATTTATTTATTTCATTTATCATTTAAATTTGATTCCTACCTTTGCATGAAACTTTCCAATAAGCTGTCCCGATTAATCAAATCATTCATTAAAAACTGAAAACAAAATGATTTATTAATATCACAAGTAGTAATAAGACCAACAGCATTGTAATCAATTCAGTTGACAGTTTTTTTCATGAATGAACCATCAACTGGTAAGGCCCTAACTCAAAGCACCTGCATCTACTCAAAGCAAGTGCTATTATTAGGAATTTTGTTTCATTCTATCATGACATGAGGTTCTTATTTGTCATTAGTTCTGGTTTTAAAAAAATGAACTGGCATTCATCAGATCCATTCAGGAACTTGGCATTTTTCTGTCTTTTCAGTGATCCAAACAAATCTTATCAGTCCAGAATCCTTTGAAAAGAATGAAACACTCACATTAAAAGCTCAAGGAGATCAAATGGCCATTCACCCAAGAGCAACCACTGCCATGACGACAGGTATTGTTCATAACTAGCTTGGTTTTTCTACAGAGTAGATCCAAAATTACTTTTACTATCTATTTCATTGCTCCCTCCCTGTCAGCCACAATCCTAGGATATCTGAGTTTGCGAAGTGTTTTATCACTCTGGTTTGGATTAGGGAAGTTGCAATCCAACACATTTGTAAAATCCTACATTTTACATGGGAAAGGTAAAAGGGAATAGAAAGCGGCTGGTAATACTTATTTTACCAAGAAGTAAATATATGGGTCTACACTGATCCTTTCATTATCAACATTTTCCCAAGTTTGGGGAAATCATGTATAGTTTATTTGGTTTTATGTTTCTCCCTGATATTCCTTCTGTCTCTTGCAGATACCGTTGCTGTGGCTTTTATATCATACGGTGGGCTAAAAACACTTTTAGATGATACTTTACTGCAGAATGGAACATTCCTGGGCAATGAAATGTTGACAGATGTTCATATGAATTCTAGGCTAGTAAGCGTTTCTGCCAGGACCAAGATACAGAATATTTCTATCCTGGTCAACCTCACTTTTCAGCATCTCAAGGTATGTAAGTGAAGTCTACCTCAGAAATCAAGCCCCCCAAATGCAATGCATGTGCACCCCCCGTGCATGCGCCCAGCCCCAATGGCAGAGAACCGAAGACTAGCTAGCCGGCAGGAGGTGTGTGTGTGCATGTGAGGCAGAGCTAAACTGGGGTGATGGCTCTGCATGCCACCTCTGGCACACATGCCATAGGTTCACCATCATGGCTCTAGGTAGGCCTTATTGTTATTCAAGCTTTATAAATCAGAAGTCTGATAGTGCCGTTTCACACTAACAACTCTTACAAACCTTACACATTTAATAGTATTGGTGTCTCCTGGTCCTTAAGTTCTATTATGTTTATATTGTTCCTTTTGCTTGTCTTAAAGTTGTTTCCTTGTTAATGTATAATAACTCTACAGCTGTGCGGTAGGAGATAAAGTAAATATGTAGATTTTCTCCCTAGCTCCCATCAACATTACTTCCCTCTTGCAGAATAAAGTTGCCCAGGAAGAGGTTCTCTGTGTCCACTTGAATTCTGGTGCCTTGTCCAATCATGGTTGCCAACGACTCTTTTCTAACATCACCCATACAGAATGCAGCTGTCAACATCTGTCCAGTTTTGCTGTGCTGATGGCCACAACTCATAAACAAGTATGTAATTTCTGAAAACATCTCAGAACTGTATCGTGGTAAACAACATGTTTTTTTATTCTCTCACTTGTTATATCTACTGTTGTGTCCTGCTTTTTCATCATCGAAGCAGCATTTTTCTATTTGACATGCTGTAAAGTTTTCCATCATTATTCGTGGTTCCTTCCTTTCATATATAGAAAGGTAAACTAAGAAATGCTTGTGTTCCTCAAGATTTTGAACACTCTGATGCTTTATTTCCAATCACAATAACAACAAAAACAGTCAGGTAACAGAATAGCTTTTATGGTCTATATCAGGGGTCCCCACAAGTCTTAAAGTTGCCAAGTTTGGAGACCTCTGGTCTAGATGAAGTATAAACATATCTTCCTTATCAAAAGGTGGCTCATATGATTTTGAGAACAACTGTCTTCTCTTTCCAGGGAGATCTGATCCTCACCATTATTAGCTACCTTGGGTTGTCCATCTCAGTCGTTTGTCTCTTCCTGTGTATTGTCACATTCCTCTTCTGCCGCTCCAGCCACAACAGCAGCACCTTCATCCACCTACAACTGAGCTTCTGCCTGTTTTTAGCAGACCTCCTCTTCATAATTGGAATAGATAAAACAGGCAACAAGGTATTTCAGAAGAATATGTATTGCTCTGTTCACTGGAGAGAGAACCCCCTCTGAGTGTGCTTCCTACTTAGGAATTCTTCATTTTTCTATAGATTGACTGAATTGAGTCAGTTTTCTTTGCAAACCCAATTCTTTCAGCTTTTTATTAGCTTTATTATAGTGACATATCTCAAGTGAAAGGAGAGTTACTGTGCACAGATTTTTACTGTAGCACTGCTGGTGGAAGCAGGAATGTCAAATATGATTTGTTCCATTTCTCTGCTTTCTGTTAGCCCAGTCTACATTCAAACCAGCAGTTCAAGAATCAGATGCTGATAAAGAAATAACATTTTATTTTTTATTCAGATCCTGTGTTCGGTCATAGCTGGAATTCTGAAATATCTTTTTTTGGCTTGTTTTGTCTGGATGTTCTTGGAAGCTGTCAATCTCTACTTCATTGTCAGAAACTTGAAAGTTGCAAATTACAGCGGGGCCAGCAAGTATATGAAGATATCTATGTACCTCATTGGTTATGGGTTTCCTGTCCTGATTGTAGCTATTTCTGCAGCAATTAAACCTGGAGCCTTTGGGACACTTTATCGGTAAGCCTGAGCATATGGTTAAAAGCTGCTTCCCTCAGCCTGGTGCCACCAAAATGTAGGCTACATACACACAATTGCTAGTATAACTCAGGGAGCACAACTCTGTATAACACATGGAAGTGTTTAACTTTCTCCTGATGATATTTCTTTTTCTTTAGCTGCTGGCTTAATCCAAATTTTATCTGGAGCTTTATGGGACCTGTCTGTGTGATAATTGTGGTGAGCAAATATTGTCTCTTATCCTTTATAGTAGAGAAATAAAGAGTTTTATAACTTTTTTCTGAGATGAAAAAGAAGAGAAAAAGATCTTGATCTCATGTAGCTAAAATAGATACATCAACCTTGGTTGATCTTTCTATATTTACAATGTGTTGGGAGATGTTCGTAAATTTTTGAAAACGCAGGAAAATCAGTTCTTCCGGCTACACAAGAGAAATTAATTAATGATATTTTGCAAAGAGCTGCAATTTTATACTAAAGGATAAGGTGTTAGAGAGAGAAAGATGAATTTGAGAGCGAAAAGCTAACCCATTTTGTCCTGAGTTACAGAAATTTCTTTCTCCCCCCCCCCCCTGTCATCTGTAATTAAAATAGAGGCAGATGTCCACTCATTAAAAGCATCAGCTACCAAAATATATTATCTAAAACAGCAGTCCCCTTTCTGGTTTGGCAGCCCGGTGAGGGTTGGGGAAAGATGGGATGGTTTTGCATGAGGGACAGGAGTGGACGTGCGCGCCCAGTTTCATTTGTGTGAGTAGCCACCGCTCACACAAGAGGGGTTGTGAGCACAAGCATCTGCCATTCGCATGCGTGGGTTTGCAAGTGTGCATTGCTCACACAGATGTGTCTGATTGCCCATGCACACTCACCGGCCATTTGCATAGCCTGGTTCTAAATAGACCATGCCCAGGAGTTGGGGACCGCGATCTAAAACCAACAATTGTTCTCTCTTCTTCATCTTATTTAGTCTTAGAACATTATCTATCTACTACTGTTATCTTCTTTCTAAAGATTCTTTTTCTTCCCAAAGGTCAACTTGGTGTTCTTCTGTCTTATTCTGAAGAATCTGCATAAAAAAGTGGCATCTCTCAATTCAGAGATATCTTCAGTCAAAAATACCAAGTAAGAGTTAACACAAAGCATGAAATGTGGAGTACAGTTCCATGTGATCCTCACGAATAATAATGCTTCATCATTATTATTATTATTATTATTATTATTATTATTATTATTATGCTTCAAAATTCTTTTTCATGACAAATTGCGAGATACAAAACATGTACAATACAAGAAGGGCATTGGGAAGCAAATGTAGGAATCCATGTAGTGGAGAACAGTGCTGTGGTCTTTGTATGCATGAGGTTGGCAAAATTTAGCAGAGGGGTGAATTGTTTAGAAACTATCAGTAGCAAATTTTCATTATGGAGGTCAGCATCTTTCACCCCATTGAGTTAAAAAATGGTATAATCTAGGTTGTTCCTCCATTTTGCAGAAATATCTTGTATGGATGCATACTGGATGGGCATCTGTAGAAGACAGTGACTTTACTAAAGCATAGGTGCAATATGAAATAGGATGTCTCAATATTCATTGATTTTAAAACAAGCTTTTTGTCACCAGAATATCAAAGCAGTGACCTTAATCTTGGGAATTAGCAGTAGATGTTAGGTGAACTGTCTCAGCAAAGGGGAAACTCCAAGTGATTGATAAGGGCCTACTGTACGATTTCCCATTCTTCTTTGACTATGGCCACAATCAACTTTAGCCATTTCCCATTGCTCCACATATTTCATTTACATCCTCTCTTGTGAAGTGAAAGTTATGGTTTCATTCTACCACAGAGTCAATTGAGGGAGAGAGGATTACCTTAGACCAGAGATGGACAGCTATGGCAACTTTATGACCTGTGGACTTCAACTCCCAGAACTGAGTGATGCTGGCTCAGGAATTCTGGGAGTTGAGGTTCACAGGTCATAAAGTTGCCATAGTTTCTCAGCCCTGCCTTAGATTGATTCAGATGCTCTCTTTTCAGCAGTGTCATTTCTCTGTTGATTTCTTGCCTTTGTTGTAGGTCACTGATATTTAAGGCTGTAGCCCATGTGTTCATCCTGGGTGTGACCTGGTGTTTTGGCCTCTTTCAACATGGCCCTGTGGAAGACATTATGGCATATCTGTTCACCATCACCAACAGTGTGCAAGGAATCTTCATTTTCCTGGTGCACTGCTTACTCAACCAAAAGGTGTTGTATAGCTGTGTTTTTCATTCTTTTCCTCCCTGGGTTCCCCTGTCTAGGTTGCATTATTGAGGAAAAAGATTGCCACTTTCCCAGTTTGTATAAATCTCAGCATATGCTGTGGTCTCCTGTTATGTGTTCTTCACTTTTGTGCCTTTGAAATATCCATATGGCCCCTGGCTGAGAATCATCAATATAGAAAACAAATGTTGTGGTTAGCTGGCAGCAGGTGCGGATGGCTGAGGAAAGCGAGGACTCAGATGAGGGGCCAGGACCATTAGGGAGTGGACTGCTGCCTTCAGAGATTGTGGGGGCTGGCAGCAGCGATGAGGAGGTTCCCGAGGAGCCTGTGCCAAGTGCACATGCATGCAGGATTGCTTGCAGGAAAGAGCAGCATGGGCGACTCGTGAGTAAGGCTGCAAGGTAATGGCCCTTCCTTCAAGAAGATAAAAGGCAGCTGTGAAGCGAACATTCTTTGCAGGAAGCAAAGGTGTTTTGAAACTCAGCCTTGTGGACATTACAGTATCTTAATTTGGTGTTTGAAGACTCTTGTGTTGTGAAATACTTCTTATTTGTGATTCTTGGCAGTCTCGTACAGCTTTGGCAAGGTTTATGCTTATCAAAGTTAATTAGTTTTCAGCAGCCTTTTAACCGGGGTTTCATAAGACTCATTAAAAGGTTTCTGTTCCCTTTGGTTATTATTTGTCTTATTGGAAAAGGTTTTGGGTCAGAACAACAAGAGAGGGTTGCACAGGAACGTAAGTTACCACACAAAACAACCTAATATTTCAAATTTTCCAGATTGGGTTCAGGATTTTGTGAGCTCCTGGTATAGGAATTGTCAGAGTCATCTCCCACTCCCAGTTTCTTGTCCATGCCATGATAAAGAATGTGGTAGTAGCAAATGTTACTTCAAATTCACTCTGCAAATGAACTAAACTTCCCTTGGCATAAATCCTTCCCATTATAGTGAGCAGCAGCACCACTGACAGATAGGTATGGAGTGGGATATTTGCTTCCCTTGTGGATCTGAAGCCATATTTGTAATGCCTATAAAGGAAATGTGTTCATTTTTCACTGAACATTTCTGGAATGTTTTTAGAGGCTGTTGTTACATATAAAGTGGCCCCAAGAGTGGTTTTGCAGGCTGCAGATTTTTTTTTAATACCTGAATTCATCTATAACTGATATGTAATCATCTGCCCTTTTAGCTAGCCTTTACAGAAAGTACAGGTATTTGTTAGACTTTGTGAAATTCAGTGGAGATTATAGACAGATCAGTAATGGAATTTACTAAATGGCTGTCCAAAATATGTACATTCCTTTTAGTTTATTTCGGGATCTTCTTTAACTTCTTTTACCCATCATTATACAACCAGACCTAACCGGAGGGTTTCTGAAATGGCAAAAAGGTATATAATCTTTAACTTTCCTTTAGAGAAAATAAGCAGACTAGGGAAATAGAAGGGGAAAAAAATGCATCTCAACAGCCTCTTTGCAATGGGAACACTGTAGATTAATTAGTTTGTTTACTAATATACAATAACTATTGTCTTTACTAATAAACACAAACAAATCCACAAACCAAACTAAAGCTGATTTGATTTCTTTGCTTTGGAGTAGTTCACATACAAGTGATTCTTATTTAGCAACGGCCTCTTTTTGCTATAACAGTGACGAAGAAGTAACTTTGTGGCCAATTTCTGTCATTTACAACTTTTGCAAACCTGTAAAGCAAAGGAAAGCTGAAATAAGGTTGTGAGCACAGCCTAGTTTCCCTTAGCAACTACTTCACTTAAAAGCCAAGTTGTCAGTCCCGATTATGGCTGCTAAATGAGGACTTCCTGCTCTAATAGGAGTCTAGTAGACAATTCCTCCTTCTGACTTTGAATTTTGGATTTTCAGGTGAGAGAAACATACCGGCATTGCATCTGTTGTGTCAGAGAGAGTCCACCTCAGGTTTCTGAGATTGTGGTGACCTCTTTTCCCATCAGCAATCTTTCAGTAAGCATGATCAAAACTTTTGATTACATTTGAAGCAGCATGGGTAAACGGCTTCTACAGTCCAATATTGCAAGAATAAATATGCATAGGATATCATATTTCAGAGATTAGAATTATTTTTTCAAGCTAATATTATTGTTATAGTGCAAATACCATGTATCAGAGGTGGTATTCAGCAGGTTCTGACTAGTTCTGGAGAACCGGGAGCGGAAATTTTGAATAGTTCGGAAAACTGGCAAATACCACCACTGATTGGCCCTGCCCCCATCTATTCTCTGCCTCCCGAGTCCCAGCTGATCTTCTTTTATTTCCCTGCACAGGAGAACAGAGCTGGAAAGCAGGTTAGTGGGGTGGGGAGGGAATGGGGATTTTGCAGTATTCTTCCCCCAGGAGTGGGGAGGGAACAGGGATTTTAAGTATCCTTCCCTTGCCTTGCCCACCAAGCCAAACCATCCCCACCAACCCAAGCCATTCCCACCAAGCCATGTCCACAGAACCGGAGTAAAAAAATTTGAATCCCAGAGGGGGAAAATACTGGTAGTCCTCAACTTATGATCACAATTGAGCCCTAAATTTATGTTGCTCAGTGAGACATTTGTTAAGTGAGTTTTGCCCCGTTTTACGACTCTTCTTGCCACAGTTGTTAAATGAATTGCTGCAGTGGACAAGTTAGTGACTTAACTTGTTGTTAAGTGAATCTGGCTTCTTCCCCCTTGGCTTTGCAGGCCAAAAGGGTGCAAAAGGGGGGGGTCATAGGACCCTGGGACACAGCAAAGGTCACAAATATGAACCAGTTGCCAAGCACCTGAATTTTGATCATAGGGATGCTGCAACTATTTAAGTGTACAAAAATGGTGATAAGTCAAATTTTGCAGTGCTGGTGTAACTTTGAACGGTCACTAAACCAACGGTTGTAAGTCGAGGACTACCTGTAGTTGGTTTAGTTTGGTGTTGCTGAGATTTAGTTTCACCATTATTTTCACCAAAAGAACTAGGAAATTTATTTATTTGTTTGTTTGTTTGTTTGTTTTGTCAAGAAATTATAAGATAACAGGTATAAGTATAAACATAGTTATGGATACATGAAATGGATACATATAAAAAAATAAAAAAGAAACAATAGGACAGGGACGGTAGGCACGTTGGTGCACTTATGCACACCCCCTACAGATGTCTATGAAAGGGGTGTGGCAGAGGTGGGATTCTACCAGTTCGCACCTATTTGCTAGAACCGGCTGTTAACATTCTAAGCAGTTCGGGGAACTGGTTGTTAGAAGAAATTACTGGCCTAATCCTGTAAGGAAGGCAGGAAGGAAACATTCTGGTGTTGCTTACAGAAACTGCCTTTCCATTAACTCTTATTACATTCTTGGCAGGACTAGACTTCCTGTCTCAGGAACTTCTCTGGAGTTTTTTCCCCTCCTTTGCTGGTAATTTGCTTGTGTGGAGTGACCATTCAAAGTTACAATGGAACTGAAAAAAGTGACTTATGACCATTATTCACACTTGCAACTGTTGCAGTATCCCCACAGTCATGAGAGGCCAGGCAAGGAGATGCGTGCCTCGATGTGAGTGATATTGAGTTGGCCATGCCCAGCCAATAACACCAAGCCATGCCCACCAACTAAGCCACACCCACAGGACCAGTTGTTAAAAAATTTGAAACCCACCCCTGGAGTGAGGTCAATAGTAGACAGTCTAAGGTTAAAGTTTTGGGGGTTTGGGGAAGAAAGCACAGAGTCAGGTAAAGTATTCCAGACATTGACATGCACAAAAGAGCTGTCTAAATAACCGAAAAGTTATTTGTGTTTTGTTGAAAAAGTGTAGAGGTCTAGTATTTCATGGAGGTTCTGACACTGATCATTTATATCAGGGGTCCCCAAACTTGACAACTTTAAGACTTGTGGACTTTAACTCCCAGAATTATCCAGCCAGCTGTGTGAATATAAAAAGTCTAAGTGATTCTACAATTCTTTTGAAATGACCAGTAGATCTTACTGGAATATTAAAAGCATCTCATCAGTTGTTAAGAATGGAAAAGTTACTGGAAATTATGTATGTGGAAACCAGCAAAGCTCCCCTACCTAGAATTAGTTTCCCATCTTTTGCAATCTAATGTTATGTGGCTCAAGCTATCACAATATAAGCTGTAGTTTATTTGTTTGGACATATATTACACAAAAATAAGGGTGGAATTTGTCAACTTTGGTTTGCTGCATTAGCCTAAATCTAGCCTTGGGTTGCTATGTTGTGTTGTTTTCACATTTTGTTCATGACCTAATAAAAGCTTGTTTTTTTTAGGCAAATGTACCAAGTGTTACTGCAGTGGTTGACCAGAAAATAGAATGGGGGAACCCAACATAGCTCACTGTTTCTCCTTTGGACTCTTCTGTTCAGTTTGAACAAAACTGAAGAAAATGTGAATATGTTAAGCCCTTTGTTTTCTTGTTGGCTCTCAGTCCTTTAATGTGACTTGAAATCCAGATCCATGCTGGAAACATAACTTTTAGATCATTCCCTATTTTTATTGCTCTTTTTTCTCTGTTTTTTCTATAGTATATAGTGCATATAGTATATGCTATATATAGTATATATAGTACAGTATTCAGCCATTTCACATTCAGAATATTTCAACTTTGCAAAGGACATATTTAAAATATTTTATACAACGTTTCCAACCATGTTTCTGTACACTGCTCTTTTAGGGAATGTCATGCTTACTAAGGATGAACATGGGTTGAAGGAATACAAAGGATGTGCCAACATAACAGTATCTTGACAGCAACATTCCTCTCCATAATGACAGTGTACTTTTAAATCGATCAATAGATTCCTTTTTTGTGCTGCCAAAAAGAGTATTTATTACAGTCCTAAATCCTTATCTGTGGCAACATAAACATATTGAAAACTACAGACATTTCTGCTTAGAGAAGGAAAACACAACTGAAATAGTTCAGAGAGACAAAATGCCACTCTGGAAATAATCCAAGAACGGTCAGTTTCCAGACCAAAATTCTGCTAGGCTATCCAAGAAAGTCAAAGCACCATCCGTTAGGCTAGAAGGAGGTGGAATGTTCATGTGTAAAGCTGATTGCCACAAAGAACCAGTCAAGGCACAGTTTCCTTTATACAGGCCATATTTCTACAGGATGAATCAATTAGCATTCCTCATTTGTCAGATATACTTCTTACTTTCAAGTGGCTGACTCAACTTCCTTTGCTCTTCTCTTGTCAAGTTGTGGTGTTTTCCTGAGCTTGGGACTTACCTAGCTCAACTTCTGTATCAGCTGACTCGGCCTGCACTGACCTGCCTGCACTGACCTCAGCTGCATTGCAACCTCCTCTCTTCAGCTAATCCCTGTGCTTGAGGCTGAGGCTCAGATTGGTCAAGCTCTTCTACTTCTGAACCCCGAAGACTCAGACTGATCCTTAACAGATACACATTGGGTTAAAGATTAGAAGTTTCTACAACCATGCTGGTACAAAAAATAGTACAATTAATTAGCAAGAAACAACTTGATCCTTTCAATCCTATCAATCCAGATGGAGTTGAATATTTAGGAATAGTTTATAAAATGTTGGTGTTAATTTTAAACTGCAGTCAAGTTTCCTTTTCTGTATAATTAAAAATGGAACTTGTGTCATAGCAACAACTTTCATTGTCACTGCTTGTAGGAATAAATTCTTCAAAAAATGTTATTTTTGTTTTAAGTAATTCTCATCAGTCCCATATCCCCAAAGCCCTAAATTTACATTTGTTTTTCTTGAAACCGCCATATTGCACTGCAAACCTACATTGAATTTGGAATCAACTACGTTTCCAAGATCCTATATTGTATCTTTGAGCAGTCTTAATACATCACAGTTACTCTCTTTTTAAATATGAGAATAAATTGTTCATTTTATTATCATTTTATCTGGTTAAACATTAATTGCTGAGCTAAATCCAGTTAAATATTTCTCCAGGTGCTGAAGGCAGCTTCCCTGAGGATCTCCGTATTTATTTATTCTCCTGTGAGATAAAATTGTCTGGAAAAAAGGTCAGCTATTGAGTTTCATTGCTGAAGGGATTATTTGGCTGGATCTGGATGAATCTCCCTGCTCTGGGTCCAATACCTTAAGCAATGTATTATAGTGGCTCTTATATTAAGCCCAATTCTTCAAATACTCTGGGAGGATGTTCTGAGATTTGAAATCACAATTTTAATCTTTTCCAAAATGGTTCTTGATTTATGTCCATAGTTCTGTTTTTTTAGGGTGTGTGTGTGTGTGTTTGTTATGGTTATCTGTTCATTAATCTGTTTAAAATACTTTATTTATAAAAGATGAAGTATTTTAAATGCATTCATTAGTTGAACTTAGCTAACAATTTTACTAGCTGATGTTTTCTTTCTTTATTGTTTATAACCATGTTTTTGTAGAAAAATAAAGAAATATGAAAATAAAGAAGTATACTTTACATGAAGTATATCCACAACCTCATACTTTGATGGTTCTTGAGTCTGAGTTTCCTGCCTATATTTTTCAAAAATATATCAGCTGGTGATGTTGCTAAACCTGGGGCCGTAGCTCTGGATCTATTTTCTTCTGAGCTCTGAATTTCCACTGATATCCATAAAAGTGTCCTCCTTCCTCTCCCCCCTCCCCCCAATTAATTTCTATGCAGATTAATCTCATGGGAGTTGAAGGTGAAGAAAGAACCAGTTCCAGATAATACCCTAGCTGGGTGCAAAGAAAGATCAGACCATCTTTGAAGTTCCCCAACCCTTGTTAGTCAGACTTTCTGGAAAGTGTTTGGTAATTCATTTTCCCACACATAAATAACCCTGATGGGACAGAGAGAAACATCAGAGATTTTTCTGATTGTTACCCTGAAGCTGCCACAAGTTACAATGTGGGTCACCAGCAGCATAATTGGATTGCTGAAGTGCTCCAGAGATAGGCTGTGGGGCCAGGGCTTCTTAGACCAAGATACGTTCCTCTCCACTCAAGGGTGTGTTGAAAGCTGGAAAATGCCTTTCTTCTGAGGATTCGATTTTCCTGCTGGGAGAGCTCCGGTGCAAGGATACAGACAACTGCTTGAAAGCTGGTTCTTTTTATTTTTCAGGAAGGCAAGAGATAGCAAGAAGTCTGTGTTCCTGGGGCTAGCTAGCTTTGTATAATAAACCCCTGATTTTTATACTTTTTTCTCCTTTTGTGTGTGAGTGCTTGTGTTTGTATTTCTTGATGTTTTAAATCCTGTCAGGGGTTGTCTTCATTTCCTCCAGAGGGTAAACTCCGCAGGGTGGTTTGATTGGATTATCAGTTTCATCCTAATGTTTTCTTATATTTGTTTTGTGGCAATCTCCTGTCTGCTATGGAATTTATTTCGTGTCTTTTGTCTATTTGTTTTGCTGATTTGGCATGACCTGTTGTTCGTAAGGGATTTCTTTTTCTTGTTTCCCTAGCTTTCTTAATTACTTGGCTTTTGTCTAGGGGGCTTCTTTCAATACCTTTTATTAAATCTCTTTTCCTATGCAAGTTTGTTTTATGGTTGTCCTGATGTTCCCTTTGGGCTTTTCCTGCTTGGGTGTCACCACTGTCCTCATGAAGTTCCCTTTCCACAGGTGGAAGGAAAGCCCATTTCTCCAGATGTGAGGAAGAACCATAAATATGCATTTATAAATATAAATAAGCATATGCACATTTCCTACTGATTTGTGCCTTGTGGTTCGGAATCCTATAGATTTTGAATATATGCATACATTTGAATATATCCCAATGTCACACATATGGGAACTTAGTAAAGAAATGTTTTGTGTCAAAGATCAGCCTCTTCTAATCTAACAAGGAACAGAATCATTTCAAAGAGTCATTTGGCAGGCAGATATGACCAATATGTATGATCTCTATCTAGAGACTGTTTTCTGTCTGTCTAGGAATCTACTATATTTTTATCAGAGCTCATGCAAACTGACATGAATATATGCAAAGAACACAGCTTTGGAACAAGATATCAGTTATGTATTTATTTTTTGCATGCAATGGTGATCAGAAATACCTGAATAGTGGTTTGCGAATTATCTTGCAATATATCAGGTATTATGTATAAAATGACAAGACTAGAGTTCATTCAATACACTGCTGAGAAGTTAAAATACAGCTGGATGTGTTGATTAAACAGATACAGTATTCACTATTGTAAAAAGCAGAATTTTTTTTCTTAGATTGCCTTTGCCAGCCCAACTCGATTGTTGCCTCTGTCAAAAATGCTGTAGTATTCTCTTATGAACACATCTCCTAGAATCCAGAGATCTCCGTTAGATGGTTGGAAATTAGTGCTGCAGAGGTCTGACATAAACTAGAGGGATTATAGAAGAAAACAACAATAAAACAACATTATAGAAGAAAGCAACAACAACAACAAAAATTTTTAAAAACAGCCATAAAACTGAATCTGTGCATGGATTATTCAATGAATTGATTTTGGTCAAATTGTACCAGGAAATCTACAAACACAAAAAGATAAGCAAGTGAAAATATACAAAGGAAAGAATAAACGAAATAAAAATAATGAAGTAAACTGGTGTATGGTCTACGAAGAGATAGTTAGTTAAGATGATATCCAAAGGAATAAAAATCCAATTGTTCAAGTAAGAAAGCTCTTTAAAAGCTGTATGGAGATTTCAGATTTGCAAAATGCTTTGTGGGCTGCTTCACTGAGGAAAAAAAACGAACTGTAATATTATCCTATCTTTAAACTGTGCCAGTGGATATACAGTGGGACAGGCTAGTATTGAAACTCTTTCTGCTGGGGTGGGGGGGGGATGCCAGTGAATTGATATGGACATTATAATAGTGTTGTTTTGTATTGCTGTACTTTTAATCCAGGAACACATAAATAACATATGTGTTATTTGTGTTATTGAGAAATATTAATATCAAGAGTATAAATTTTCAGGAGATAACACTGTTGAGAGATTGGTTAAAAACTCTACAGACTTATCCGAACAAATGGATATGCTTGGTTAGTGTAAATTTTGGCTTGATTCTTTGTTGCTTAGGATGTTGTGCAAATCAGTTTATTCTGTTTGTTTACAGTTTAACGATTATGTGAATTCAAACATTGACTAATTCACTAAGCACATATATAGAAACTATAAGGAGATTAAGGCTTGTAGGTGGACTGTGGTTTCCAAATATTCATCAAGCCCTGAAATAATATAATGGAGGAGATTCCTAAGCAGCCTATTTTTTTTCACAGGGTGGTTGACTTGGTTCTATGTTATCATTTTGGTGTACTAGTTGCATAAAAAATACTCACTAGTCAGTATTCCCCAGGCATAGATTATATAGGCAGGGTTACACAGATGTTTTGGGACAATGCCTACAAGTCCCAGACAGCAGAGCTAAAATTAGGGCCCATACTATTCTAGAATTGTTGGAATTATAATTCAACATATTTAAAGAGTTGAATTGGATAAGATCTTCTAGTTTATTATCAATATTTGGTAAGTCTAGTGCAGAGATGCCAGGAATTGTAGAAGATGACCAGGTTGAACCTGAGGGAGGGGTCAAATGTGTCATCAGTCACGAGCCCCTGTAAGCCTGCAAGAGATCTAAGTCCAGCCCAACTTAAATGCCTCTTAATTCCTGTTCATTTCCCTTGATCGTTAGTAGCTCAGATTTTGTAGAGAGATTAACCTTGCAATAAGTCTTTATACTCATTTGAAGTGCCTGAATCTCTTGATTTCCCCAGCACTTGACAGGTATGCTGGGAAGGATCTTACAAACACATCAAATTTGGGGCTTTGTTTTACTGCCATGTTTATGCTTTTCATTGTGGAAGCATAACAATGGTGTGATAGGATAGCTGGACATAGCAGTATCTGGAACAAGAGAGTAATAAAACTTGCCAGCTTTACATCTCATGTATTTTTTTACATAAAGTAGACCATGTTCTGTCTAGAGATTAGCTCAGATTAGCTTGGCAATTTGAAGATATGTGGACTTCAGCTCCCACAATTCCCCAGCCAGCAAGTTGCTAAGGTTGAGAGACACTGATCTAGATTATAGGCTGCTCTTTTTCCTTTAGTGTAACCTTCTGACTTCAATTTTTTTTTCTCTTTGCCATTGCAAAAACACATAATGTGGTCTTAAAAAGAAAAGATTTTGCAATTTTCTATGCAAAGAGGAACTGAGGGGAAAACAGCATTATTTTCTTCCACATTTTGCCTTTCCTGGAACAACTAAACAAACACTTGCGACAGCTGATATCATATTGCAATTTTTGGATCAAATTTTTTTGATGGAGATAAGCATGTAACCTGCAGGACAAAATTACTAAAAGTCAAAAACCTTATTCAAGAATCAAATCTATGTTAACATAATAGTATCTGAGTGCAGGTATGGTTCCTCTTCCAAACAGCATCTTTATCCTTGAATTTGAGATGTACTTCAAAAGAGCATCTCCAGACCCAAACTGCATTACTAAGAATATTTCTTTAAGAAGATTGCCTCCATCTTTCCATTTTCACCCCTTGCCTTGCACAGAGTTATGCACTTCTAATCTGCATAGAAATAGTAGTAACCGAACACTTGAATATAAATCCAAATCTGTTATGTACCTTGCGAGTATAAGCTGCTGGCGGCAGTGGATAGTGGATTCCATTGATCACAAAAACAACATCAGGAAGGTTGGAGGAACTGCTGCAGTTGATTACAGACTACACAAAACAAGGAAGAGTGTTCTTGAATTATTCTGATCATAACAGATAGTAGTTTTTTTAATCATAAAATGCAACATTTTTGCTCCATATATGAAATTCCAAGAAAGTAAAATTGCTGTCTTAAGTGGTAATTCATTATTATGTTTATTAAGTGTCATGTCTCAAATGTGCTTTTTCAAAAGGCAGCTGGACTTTCTTCATTTTTCCTTGAAAACCTTTCACTTCTCATCCAAGAAGCTTCATTCTTCATTTTTCCTTGAAAACCTTTCACTTCTCATCCAAGAAGCTTCTTCAGTCCAGAACTGAATGAGAAATTAAACGTCTTCAAAGAAAAAAGAAGTCCACTACCTTTTGAAAAATCATGACCTGGATGACTGAGAATCTCCATAAACATTAAGTGTTTTGCTCGAGGTGAATAATAAGCATTAAGTGTTATGCTTGAGGTGAACATCACCTTGCAAATCAAGATAGTTTCAGTTACTTTGATTACATGATAAATACAGGAAGTTTTTGAATCAATCTCTAGAAAAATCAATTTTTTGAATCAATCTCTAGAAAGATTTAACATTCTTTACTATTTAATTTTTTTACAGCCGTAAGAATCCATGATCCTCTCATATACTTTATGAGTAAAACATTACCTTAACAGGACTATCACATTTAGATTTGAATTTTGATGAAACATATAGGCAGAAATCTGCTGAAGTGGAAATCCACAATGCAAACTGAGCAGTAATACAAATCAGATATCTACCAACCTATATATTTCTATACCAAACCCCTTACAGCCTGGTATTGTTTGGGTACCAGTGTGATAAAGATGAGTAAAAAAGTCTTTCAAATGTAATGAATGACAAATACAATGGCAGAGAATAAGGGGTTTGATCTTACCTGCCCCGGTTTAGCTCCAACGGCTTTTAGGATGCTAATTATGTCGGATGATGGACCAGCCAGGAGGGAGGTACCTGTATCAACAATTGCTTGACAGCCACTATTGCAAGCAATCTTCTGACCATTCACTAGAACACTAAGAAACAGAAATCATGTGATGGTGATACTAGAAATAAAAAAGGCCCCCACTTATTAAAGCATAATTAATATGTCCCTTAAGAAGTTATTGTGAGGGTGACTAATATGGTACTCTACTATATAATTAGTCAAGACTAAACTATGATATGTGTTTGAAACTGCAGAAAGCAGTTATAATAAATGTAGCTGGGAACTCTTTAGAGCAGAAACCTCTGCTTTTCCAATACCTAACATGCCACGTGTAGTCAACATTTTCTTTCCAGTATTTTCTTTCTTTCTAGAGTTTGACTTATCTCCCTTTCTTTTCACTTCTTATTCCTTCAGGTTATGAATCTTAAAAATAGTTCATAAAACTTTCCGATGTAAAGTCCAATAATAGAACTCAATCTATATACTGTATATTGTTTATAGGCTAAATAATAGTACTTATAGCATATCCGGCTTACCTGTCCATTGAAATCTGCCAGTATGTTTGCTGACTCACAGGGATCCAGTTAATAGAACCAGTATAATGAGAATGATCTATTCCACCAAAAGTGATCATGCTCCCAGTTTCTTTCCTGAAACATGAATATGAAGTTGTCAAGCCATTTGATGTGCATTAAGTTTTCAGCTAAAATGATAATTTTTCAAAAATCTTTAGTGTTACAAAGTGCCGGAAGATGTTCATATCACTGTTACAAAGAACATTAAATAATAATTGTTATTCTCCCATTCCCAGAATTAATTAAAAAAAAAGATTCCACATCCTCACATGCAACAAAAGAAAACAAAAGGAGCTGCTTGCACTTTCCCACTCCACCAAAATGTTCACTTTGTACATATTTGTCCAGTAACGGGAGGTGGGGGGTGGGGATTCCGAGTGGCTGAACTGTGAAGCCACCAAGCCACTATTTCCTGCAAAGATCCATGTTCTGTGTTTAAATTGCTGGCTGAATATAAAGACAGTCAGGCAAACTCTACAAAGACTTCCATACAAAGTTTCTTTAAGGCATCCTCGAGGTATAACTCACAGTTATGTTGAGATTCATCTAATGTCCAATTCTTTCCATAGTTGACTTCATAGTGTGAAAATAGTTATCTTCATACCATAACAATGGAGCAAAGCAGCACGATGCTGCTGGGGTCCAAGCAAGAATAATGGAAACTTCCCCTACCCAACCAAGGGTCAATTCAGTGACCAATCAGGATTACAGATGTGACCACATGACATGAACTACATTTCCCATGAGGCATTCCCTTAAGGGGACAGCTCCCAATTCCCAATTAACTATCCCAATTCCCAATTAACTACATACTGTCTGGACAGCACAGTCCAGGTAGAAGTGCTCAAGTCCAGGACCAGGGTAGAAGTTCTCCCCAATAATGAATTCTGTTCATAAGCTCTATGGAGTCCCAGCTTTTTAATTGCAAAAGAAACATCAATTTCAACACAACCATACCTGGCCCAGAAATCCACTGGCTCAGCTCTCTGCTGCTGCTGAGATTGTGGGATCAGAGAGAGCCCATGCTATTTTAAACCTAATGCAGAATCATTAAGAGAACTTGCCATGAGAAGTTTCAAAGGTGCTTTCCCAAAAATTAATTGACTTTCTTGGGGTTTTTTTCCTTGAAAAAGTTTCACTTTTCATTCAAGAAGCTTCTTCTGAACTGAAGAAACTTTTTGGATGAGGAACAATAGCAATAGCACTTAGACTTATATACCACTTCACAGTGCTTTACAGCCCTCTCTAAGCAGTTTATAGAGTCAGCATATTTCCCCCAATAATCTGGCTCCTCATTTTACCCAACCTCAGAAGGATGGAAGGTTGAGTCAACCTTGTGCCTGGTGAAATTCAAACTGCCAAATTGCAGTCAGCTGGCAGTCAGCAGAAGTAGCCTGCAATACTGCCTTCTAACCACTGCACCCCACAGTGGTGGGATTCAAATTTTTTTACTACCTTTTTTACTTCTGTGGGCCTGGCTTGGTGGGCGTGGCAGGGGAAGGATACTGTAAAATCTCCAGTCAGAGGTGGTATTTGCAGGTTCTCCGAACTGCTCAAAATTTCTGCTACCAGTACTCCAGAACTGGTCAGAACCTGCTGAATACCACCTCTGGCACCCCATGGCTCTAAGAATCAATGCATTTTCAAGGGGGAAAAACCAAGAAAATCCAGTTGTCTTTTAGAAAAGCACCTTTGGGACAACCATGACTAGGATGATAGAGAATCTCCACAGACATTTTGCTGTGAGAAGGCCTTTACACAAGTGCAAGCTCAATAGAACAGCTGTCTTATTCTTTGCTGTTTAATCATTTTAGAGTAATAACCCATGGCCATCTCCTACACTTTAAGAGTACAACTCAATTCTTATTCAGGTGAAATGATTGAGCTACCAAAGAAATCTATTCCATGGTGAATTTTCGTTTCACCACTAACAACTGGTAGATCAAAATATTATTTACCGGCTGAGATAAAAAGAAAACAAGTCTTGTTGCACTAAACCTTCTTTCATCAAATTATCAAAGACGGGAGTTGCTTGATCAACTGAAATTGTGGGGTAGGCTAAGCCCAGGATGCCATCAAACTTTGCATAGGTAAAAATGCTTCCTGGCTCTTCAGTGCTCAAACCAAAAGGTTGATTGGTATCACTATAGCTGGACACCTAGAAGAGAAGCAAAGTATTCCTTTATCTATTAACTTGGTGAATCCCCAGAGCAGACTTTTAATACTGGTATCATGAATGATGGCCACCCTCATAAGCCTATGCTCATATTCTTTAGAACACAATTAGATTAATAAATATCGCAGCTTCAAGACAATAACTGAGTCAACCATAACCTTTTACTAATTAATTAAAATTACTCAAGAGTCTGAGTCTGCCCAAAACCAGTAACAATTCTATTTCGTTGTGCTCTCAGGGCCAAGACAAATATGTAGCTGCTGGCATCAAGCACAGAACTTAGTATGAGCTGCTCTTTTTTTAACTCACAAAATTGTTATGAACCACAACATTGTTAACCATTTACTATCTGCTCATCTTTTAGGTACCTAGAGAATGCATGGTTTTACCTGCACTGTGTCATATCCTAGCATGCCTTTCATGCTTCCTGTGCCATACCAAATGGCCATAGATTGTCTTGTCTTCTTGAAAGTAGAAGAAAGGTTTGGGTTAAATCGTCGATGGTTTTCTAAATGTAAAAAAAAAAAAAAAACACCAGTCATTAATTAATATTAAAAAGCTTTTAATCAATGGTGGGTATCATTTTTTCCTGAAGAAAAATATTGCAACATTTTACAGTGCAGAGCATTTGAAATATATTATTATTAGCCAATTAAAAGGAAATGCTTTCCTTTTATTATCCCATTAAAAGGAAAAGCCACATAGATAGTTAATAAAACTAGTGGGTAGAATTATTTACTAGAGAAATTAAAAAATGGTATTTCTGGAAAATACTATCTGTTACTGTTTCCATCGCTCTTCAAAGAAGAAGATTGATTTTAACATGACCACTTTGAAACCTTTTGCTGAAAATTACCCTGTGCTTTTACAAATTAAAATTTGTCTGTGCAGTCATATAAATGTCTTCCCAAAATCAAATCCCATAAGTGGATTTGGAACAGTGGAACATATTCTTTGGAACAAGGGTGTCAAACTCAAGGCCTGGGAGCTGAATCTGGCCCACAGGGTACTTAGATCTGGCCCACGGGGCCATCCTGGAAACAATGAAGGACTGGCCTGCGGTGCTTCTGCCAGCGAAAACAGGCTCCTGAGCTCCCTTTTCGGCTGCCACAGCCTCCTGCAACCCTCTGCCAGTGAAAATGGAACTCGGGAAGGTGGTGGCCAGGATGGGCGTGGCCAGCTCGACGTCATTCCTGTCGCAGGTACTTGTGGTGGCCTGAGCCACAGGCTCCGGGCTCCATTTTCACTGGCAGAGAGTTGTAGGAGGCTGTGGCAGCCAAAAAAGGAGCTTAGGAGCCTGTTTTCACTGGCAGAGCATTCGGGCCATCATAGGCACCCCTGACAGAAGTGACATTGAGCTGGCCATAGCTACCCTGGCCCCATGAGGTCAAACACAACCCTGATGTGACCTTCAATGAAATTGAGTTTGACACCCCTGCCTTAGAAGATTGCAGTCTGCTACCCAACCGCTATGCATGCTTATTGCTAGAAGCCAAATTCCATTGCACTCAGTGGACCTTGTTCCTAAAATCCCACTGCCAAATGCTCCTGATTTTATTTAAAATTCATGGGATACTGTTCTCTACTATTCTACATCTTTTTGAATCTTGGATGTATATGTGGATATGGAGCATTTGAACTGTCCTGCCAATCGGTATGTTTGCCCTTTATGGCCAGTTAGCCTTGAACAGGCAAAGAAACCAGCACTTTGTTGTTGATCAGAAATCAACTGCTTTGGAGAGTCCTTGGTGGTCTCTTAGTTTGGTTGTTTTCTTGCAAACGTTTTATTCAATGCTAGCAAGAAAACAACCAAGTTCAGAGACCACTAAGAACTCCACTGTTGAACCCTGAGCTATATATATTCTATTGGTATCAACTGCCCATTTATCTTGCCTAGCCCTGTACCCTTCCACCAATCTTTAAAAAATTAAAATGAAATAAAGCAAGCATATTTATTATTTGGTCCGCTTTTCAAGCCAGCGGAGTGTTAAGCAGCACTGAAAGGAGAAGAGTGAGGCAGAAAAGATGTCCTCTCCACAGAAACAAAGGCCATCCTACGTCAAGTGTTTTCTCCTCTGTGCTGCAAAATTAGTTTTCCTCATTTTTAAGAAAGTGCTTAACTCTGTATTCTGCTACAATGGCAGGCCTTCGGGACACATTGGTGAGCTTTTAGGGAGCAGGGTATCTCATGCCATTATCATCCCTCTAGAGAAATTCTTCATTAAGTAGAGCAATGGCTTCAGGCATTTTTTTTCATCTTGCAGGATTTTCTAGCTATGATGCATTGAAGCTGCATCTTTCATAGCTATCACTGCTATCCAGGAAATATAATACAATTTTGTACATTTATTTGATCAAGTCTGATGAAAGCAGTTACTTACTGCATGCTGGACTTTTGCAGAAAATAGATGGTACCCAGAGATTTGATGATCCAGTGTCAAACACAACAGTGAATTCCTGCGGTGGTGTTCCAATGTAGATTTTTCCATAGTACTGGACCTGTTAATTTGTAAATAATAAATATATGTTGGAATACCTGAGTACAGTAGATCTTTTTGACAATTTTAATATTGAACCATGAGATAAACACTATAAGCCTAAGTGTTACAAAATAAAGGAAGAGAAAAAACATCCATAGAAGGGAATAAAACAACAAGGTGGGAATTACACAAATAGAAACCAAATGAATAAATGGAATATGTGTGCCACCCTTTAGCTACATAAATAAGAGAAATCGAGCTAGCATTATTTCACTTGCACTTTGACATCTATAATGATAAAGCAATTTACATTTGTTCAAATATCAGTTTTTATCACAGGAAATTAATAACATACATTTGGGGAAAGGTTTTCCCATGTTAAAACATCCTATCTGGACACAGGGCTCCAAGCTAGAGAGCATCAAGGACTCCACAATTCAACCCTCAGCTACATATATTCTCTTTTATTGGCAAATCAAAAGAAAACCAGCAACTTACATCCAAGTAGTTCAAGAGTGGTTCATCAGCCAGTTGACCAGGACTGAAAACAGCTGGAGAATACTTGGTGTACTTAGTACTAATGTCATAATGATGTTTCTGTAGAAGATTTTCTAGCAAATGTTTCTGACTAAGAGTATCTCTAAGTTTCTCTCCTTTCCAAATGGGAACTCTGGTATACAAAAACAAAATGAGTAAATGCTGTGTTGTTGTTTCTCTCCTTTTAATGAAAAAAAGTTAGAAATCCACCCTACCTCTAAATTAAATAAGAAAAACATTCATGGGTTTAAATCAAATATCTTTTCAACTTGATTCCTTCAGTAGCAAAAATATTAATCCAGCTCGTACTCATGAACATAATAAACCATACATCCAAAAGAGTTGCACAAATGTAAGAGATGAAGAGGCGATGGCCTAAAGAAAATGCTACAAGTTCATTTATTCCACCTTTAAACTTTAAAAGCATTAGTTGAAATTTTTAGTCAGTTTGTAGATATTTAATATCTGATTTAGGTAATATTTAAGATGACCTTTACATCTTAGTAAAATCAAAAGAGTATAATGATGCCTTTAATATTGGCTCAATCTGCTTTCTCTTTGCATTGTATTGTATTAAAATAACAATGTAATTTTAAATCTGAATATACCATCCATAGTTCATCTCCCCTGAATAGAAAGCTCATGAATAAATCAAGTAAACAAGCAAACAATTGCAGCTGTCAATGATGAAAATATTAGTAATAAAATGAGGACTGACTGAACAAAACTTTCAGAAAAAGCCACAAGAGAGAAGAGAATTGCTAGGCACTTCATGCTGCTCCTTCCACCAAAGATCTCCAGTTGCACTGGTGCCTCCTCTACATGCTGTTGCTATTTTATAGCTACTGGAGTAGTTCCCACCTTCCCACCTGAATAACAGGTTATCATAATTCAACAAAGAAACTCTACTCTCTGGTAACCAATTTACTTTGCTCTCTGTAAACACATCAAAATCTTATCAGGATCTCCAATATTTATCATTTGCTGTAGTGATTACACTGCCAATCATTCTGTTTCAAAGTCAATCATGACTTGATTATATGTATAGAATTAAGCAGCTGCCTATCACAATACACCAAACTATTCATTTCAAATAATATTACTGAAATTCTCAACAAATTGAAGATGCTATACCAGTAGAGCTGTTTAGGATTGGGGTACCATTCTGTGTCTTGGATGCTATATCCTTGTCACCATCTTTTTGGAATCATTTTTGTTGTCTTTATTGCAGCATTACTTTCCTTGACTAAACATAATGCACATAAAACCATATTAAAAGTGTAGATATAAATAATAAATTTGATGGGTTAAAATAGCTCTGAATAAAACCCAGGATGGCACCCAAAAGCAGAAAATAACAGTTGGACTCAGTTTGTAATCTGATGAATTGGAATTTGATTTGTTGCTGCCAAACATGAAGAAGAAAATCTAGACTGATTATTATAGCTTTGGCAGAAAAGATTGAAAAGGACACAAGTACAAGAAATGCAGAACTAACGGAAATGATGTGTGACGAACTGGATTCTCTTGGCAAGATGGCTGCTGTGTTTTCAGAGGGGCCTTTGAACAATGGATGCTGCAGAGATATTTACATAAGAGACTAATAGTCCTGGTGAATGAGATGCAATTGCTGGGAAAATCCATAGTTAATGGCATTATTACTAAGAGTAATCTAAGGAATGGTTTTATTGTTAAGCATCAAACGAGGATATTTGATCCTGGATGGACCAGAGATAATGATTGGGATGATCTGTGATAGATAAGAAACCATTGTAGACTTTCTATGAGTTAATTATAATAATAAATTGTTGCAGAGAGCTCTGAAATTTAACTTCCATGTTGATTAACCTGCTAACTATGATATAGCTATAGCTATAGCTATAGATATGTAGGTCTTGGCGTGTTCGGGTCTTTTCCCGTGTAAGATTGAAAGTATCTTGACAACGTTTCGATGAGGTACCACTTGCCATCTTCAGGCTGGTGCTTTTGGCTTCGTGCTTGTGTGAGCAAAGCGTGATCGGAGCTGCCGTCTCCCTATATATCCTGGTGGGGAGGTTGGCAGCTCCAATCATGCTTTGCTCGCACAAGCACAAAGCCGAAAGCACCAGCCTGAAGATGGCGAGTGGGACCTCATTGAAACATAGCCAAGATACTCTCAATCTTACAAGGGAAAAGACCCGAACATGCCAAGACTTGCATACCTGTACCCATGAAAATCTACGAATATATATATATATATATGTATGTATCACAGGTGAATTGGTTACTAATAGATGTAGAAGCTTATAAATCTTAGATCTCTTTGCAAGGAGAGAAAGCTATGATTCCTGTAACATATTTGTTAGTGCTCAACTAGACGGGATAATATGAATTTCTGTTTTTTGTCTTTTAATTCACATTTTTTAAAATTGCCATCTAGTTTTGTCTTACTTTTGTAATTTTTTTTCCCTTTGGAGTTTGTATTTTAATTTTCTGTGTTAAAAGTAAAAAAATAAACAGGAACATTAATCAAAAGATTGTAAGTGCCATCCCAAAACATTCTATTGTTCTCACTCTTGAATTGTCAAACATATTGTGAAAGATTTGTGCACAGTGAGATAAATTTGTAAGGAGTAGAATTTTTAAAGATATATTCATAATCGGTGTATAAAGAGAAAAAAATAAGCATTTTTAGCACATACATTCTGTTCAACAGACTTGTAGGAAATGTTCATACTTCAATAGCATTTTGTGCAGTAGTTGATTTACTATGTAATCTCCAACAGGACTTTACTATTATGTAAATGCAGACTTACTCTGCTTAGAGCAGACATACTGAAATTAATGGAGTTCACATTAAATGAAACCACATTAATTTCAATTGATCTGTGTGGTTAGATTTCATTCTATTGCTACGTTATTTTTTACACACACAAAACCCTTATATACAGCCCAATCTTAAGTAAATTTGCTCAATATAGTTCTTGCTCACTTTAACTGATTGAACTCTGTTCACTAGGCATTGCAGTCTTATGTTTTCAGCAATGGCAAAGGCTATGAAGAAAGGTAATATATAAGTGAGGGAGAATCCAAGTTCCACATGACCTTGTGTATTTTTCCAGTTCTTATGGTTCCAAGGCAAATGTTCCACTTTAATCTGAAGTCCTTGGCACATATCTTTTGAGCATAACTGCTGAGGAAATTTGAGATTATATTAAGATATTGATATTTAATACTAATTAAATATATTTAATACTAATATTAGTTCGATGTTAGGTCATACCAGAACCTCCTAACAGGCCCTGCTAGCAGTGTAATCATGTTAGTGATATACTTCTGAATGTACTGTAAAAAGCTTTATCATGACATCTTTTTTTTCTGTATCAGTAACAATTAAACTTAGAGTAATAGAATCTTCAGATTTGCATGGTAGTCTCTTTCAAATAATGTCTTCCAGTATCTTAATGTTTTTGATTCTTGAAAACCAGACATGAAATATATTGCTGTTTTTTACTGGTCCCACTAATATAATCTTGGTTTGCTTGTTACAATATTTTTCCTTACCTATTCCATAGCCCAAGGATCAAACAACTAATGTATCCATGATTAGTTTTCATGTGTTATATCCGTATTTCCCTGCTTCTTGTTTTTCAACTAAAATTGTCAAACATTTGTTTTCAACAATGTTTTTTGGACCAATTCAACAAACTTCAGGATGAAATTTATTTATTTATTTGATTTGATTTGATTTGTCAATTGCTTACAAAATAATAGGTATAAGTATAAACATGAGTAAGAATACAGAAAATAGGTACAATTAAATGGGGACAATAGGACAGGGATGGGAGGCATGATGGTGCACTTATACACACCCCTTACAGACCTCTTAGGAATGGGGTGAGGTCAATAGTGGATAGTTTGAGGTTAAAGGAGTGGGGGTTTGAGGATGTAACTATAGAGTCAGGTAGTGCATTCCAGGAATTGACCATTCTGTTGCTGAAGTTGTACTTTCTGCAATCAAGTTTGGAGCGTTAACATTGAGTTTGTATCTCTTGTGTGCTCTTGTATTGTTGCGGTTGAAGCCTAAGTAGTCATTGATTGGTAGGACATTGTAGCAGATAATTTTGTGTACTACGCTTAAGTCCAACCATAGGCGGCGTAATTCAAGATTGTTCAAGCCCAAAATTTCAAGTCTGGTGATATAGGGTATTCTGTTGCGAGCAGAGGAGCGTAGTACTCTTCTGGACTCACTCAATTGTATTAATGTCTGATATACAGTGCAGATTCCAGACAGATGAGTTGTATTCAAGTATTGGTCTCGCAAAGGTTTTGTATGCCCTGGTTAGCAATTCAATATTTCCAGAGGAGAAGCTTTGTAAGATTAGATTTACAACTCTTAATGCCTTTTTGGCAATGTTGTTACAGTGAACTCTGGTGCTTAGGTCATTAGATATGAGTATTCCTAGGTCCTTGACAGAGTGAGGGTCATCAATGAGGTCATAGCCACCTAGTTTGTATTTGGTGTGCTGATTTTTTTTTACCAATGTGTAGGACAGAGCATTTGTTGGTCGAGATTTGGAGTTGCCAATTGTTGACCATTCAGACACATAATCAAGGTCACTTTGAAGAGCAATAGCATTGTTGGTGGTGTTGAATAGTTTTACATCATCCACAAAGAGGACCCAGTTGCTTATAAGGTGATCGCAAATGGCATTTATATAGAGTATAAAGAGTGTGTGTCCTAGAACGCTGCCTTGGGGGACACTGCTGTTAACTGGAGCAGGGTTTGATAAAAATAGGAGTGCCCTATTTTTACTATTTGTTGCCTGTTTGACAGGAATGCAGTAATCCACTTATGAAGGGATCCAGAAATGCCGTAAGAGATTAGTTTTAACAGTAGTTTGTCATGTACCACTGAATCAAAGGCTTTGCAGAAGTCTATGTAAATTGCATCTATTGCTTTACCCTGGTTGAGTAGAGTAGTCCATATGTTTTTGCAGTGTAGGAGTTTTAGGTTGCAGGACAATTTTTTCCTGAAACCAAATTGTTTTTTGGAGAGTAGGTTGTTTGACTCTAAGTGGAGGGTGATGAATTGGTTAATGATTGATTCCATGACTTTGCATGTGACACAACATAGCGCAATTGGTCTGTAGTTTTCAACCAGCCTGGGGTCACCTTTTTTGAAGGTAGGGATGACTGTAGCTAAGGACTATAGGTTTAGTAAGGAGCTGGTTCCGAATGATATATCATATATAATGCTTAGGGGTTCTGCTATGGCAGAGGAAAGCTTTTTTAAGAAGTATGCACATAATCCATTGGGGCCAATAGATAGGGATGGTTTTAGATTACATAATGCCTTTTCTACATTATCTTCTGTAAAGTCAATATGTAGTAGATCATTGCAGTTAGTTGTGGTACGACTAGGAAATGTGGGGCATGAGCCATTGCTGTTAACAAAGACTGAGCTGAAGAATGTGTTGAAGAGGTTGGCCTTAACAGCTTCATCATTGCAGTCTTTGCCATTTGGTCCCTTTAGAGGTGGGATAGTTCTTGAGTCTTTAAGTTTGGTGTTTACAAAATTGTAGAAGGTGCGGGTGGATTTTGTATGTAGGAGGTTTTCCTCTTGCTTGCAGTAATAATTTATGCATTCTGCCTTTATCTTTCGGCATAAGGTGTTGTATTGGTTTTTAAAGTTCGCTACATAGCTAGTTTTCTTTTTATGCCATAATGATTTTTTTAATTGGAGTTTTCTTATTGTTATGGGTAATTTGTTTTTTTTATTATTATTTAGGCGT